TGTGAGATTTTCACGAAATATGCTAGAGGAAAGAAATAGAAATAAAAAAATAGTGTAAGGGAAAATGAAATGGAAATACAAAATTTATCTTTCTATAACTTATTATATGTTGAAAAAATGTATAAAAATTAATTACCAGATTATTCCCTTGGATGAATATTATAAGAAAGTTGATGTCAAACATATTTCACACAAACGTAAAATGTTTGCATATGTTATATGATTGATCTCAAACTATTTATTTACACCCGTGAAAGCGTTCGTTTCATCTAAATTAATCATCTTCCTTCAAATGCGTGGGATTTAACTCTGAGAAAATTTAAAAAACACTTTCAATTTCTTTGTCATGTTTTCATAAGCCATTATTAAAGTTAATTATGTAACTATTTCCAGTAAAAGATTGTTGAAAATGAAAACAAATGAAATTAAATTTTTAGCTACTCTGTAAAATTTATTTTTGAAAACATATAATAATTTTTCCACTAATGTAAAAGAGTTTATAGATTTGAAATTTTTAAAGTTTTATTAAAAACCAAAATTAAATTCGTTTGAACTTTTTTTAATTGATATAATCAATTATTTTCATGATTAAAGTTGAATGAAAAATCAAATTTTGAAAATTATAACTCAAGTATAGTTATTAAATCAAACTTTAATTAAATACTAATTTATAGATATATTTCTACTCTAACATATTTAATTAACATGGTGGCACTTGTAATTAATGCTATCATTCTAATTTCATATCAAATGTACATTTTAAAGACAACCGTTTTTCCATTATAAGAATGTGCAATTAATAATATCATGTCTTAAAAATGATTATTATACTTAGATTAACAATTTATACAATTTAATTTTCTTACATTTAATTTATAAGACATAATTATATATAACCTCGTTGAAATAAATTTGTGTGATAATTATTATTATACTTAGATTAGAAATTTATACAGTTTAATTTTTTCACATTTAATTTATACGACATAATTATATATAATTTTGTTGAAATAAATTTGTGTGATAATTATTTTGAAAATATGCTACAAATATGAAATTGAATATCAAATATAATTATGTTGAATATATTACAGATATTAAAAAAGAACATTATTCCCATTTTCCACATCAATTTTTTTAAAATGAATCTTAAAAAAGATTTGTTGAAATATTTTAAATGTTGGTGTTTAAAATACTTTACTCAATTACCTCATGTATAATTCGTGCAATTTATGGGAATCTCGTACTATGAATACATCGGTAACACAATCAAATTCTATATTACTTGGCACAATCATCATTTCTCACATCCACTTGGCTTTTCAAGAAAATTGTAATAAAAGAATTTGGGAACTTACACAATTATCTAATCTAATTTATACTTTTGAAGACATGCTCTTCTGGCACATCTCTTATTTTATATCTTATCAATGTTAAAGGATCTATTCCCCTTTTTTTTTCCATAGATCTCATATTCACATTTTTCTTTATTAGGGGACTTTTATTGTCCTTCTCAATTTCTGTATTATATTAAAAAAAATTAACATATTATATTTTTAAAAAAGTCATATAATCTGTTATAGCCATTTGATAGAAAATGCCATATATTATGGATATATATAAAGTATGAATATAAGTAGAAAGATATAGATATTTTTTGGGAAAAAACATCATAAAAAATTTAAAAAAAAGAAAGAAATTTTCAGATGGCGAACTTTAGCCCCATTCAACCATATTTACAATGGGTTATAGATAGATTGTTGATCCAGTTTAAATTTTTCAATTTTAAACATAACTATTATAGTTAGTTAATTTTTTAAATTATACTATAAGAGTTATTTTTTCTTATATTTAAAAAATAAAGTAGTATATACATTTAGGGGATGCTGCATGCCAAATATATACACACACAAGGCACCCACTTTAAGCATATTTTAACAGATGCTATGCATTCCTAACAAGCCATTACTGTAGCAATTTTTTTTTTTTTTGCCAAAAAACAATTGAAAGAACTGGCACCTGCAAATAGAGTCAAAAATATGGGTCAAGTTATGTGAGTTAGCTCGAATAACTGGTTATAAGGGTTGGTTTAGGTTTGAAAAAATTTGACCAAAAAAAGAGTTTTTTCTGACTCGGATCATATAACCAGTGAACCATATGAGTCAATCCTGATGTTATGGTTGGCCTGTTTAACTCATATTATTTTTTAAAAAAATCAAAAAATTAAAAAAATTTATGGATATAAACCATATTAGACATGACTTATTTAGTTGTATCAATTTATATATTCTGTACAAATATTATAAATTAATATTTTAGTATATTTAAAATGAATCATGAAAGAATAAAATTAAAACTTATTATTTGGGTGTATTTTTAAAAAAAATCATAAAAAATAAGTAAATGAGTTTGCAAGATAGCTCATTTAATCCACCAACCCTTAAAGGTTGGGTTGGGTTGTGATTTTTTAAACCTATATAAAAACATATTGAATTTAACCTAACCCATATGAGCCAAGTTGGCCAATATTTCCACCTCTACCTACAAAGCAGGCAAGTCATGTGTGATCTAGATGACAATGAATTGAAGATTGATTTGAGGAAAAACACAATCATAGATCCTATAATTTCATTGAGTTTTTCTTTTAATCCCTATAGTTTTTTTCAGTATTTTTAATCTATATGGTTCTAGAAAGATTGGGTGACATTTATTTTTTATGTTCATATAGTTGTAATTTTTTTAATATTTTTAGTCTCTATAAAGATTGAAAATATTTAAAAAAAATATAGAAATTAAAAAAAAAACTTGATAAAATTATAGAGATAAAAAATTATGTTTTTTCTTGATCTAACAACAAATTTGTTTGTTAAAATATATACCCACAACCACAAGCTCGCTGACATAATTAACATTTCGTGGTTCATAGAGTTGGCTCTTTTTATTTTTTGGGAGCCCCTCTCTCTATGTATGTCTGTTTGTTGTCTGGCATTATGATCATCACAAATCTTTTATTCAATAGAATAATTTCATAAATTTAAGGTTGAATTTATAAAAAGGGTTACATTAATATATTTTTATCCTTATATTTTTTTAGGCTCGCCATAAAGTAATGCATCAGTGCAACGTCAACCCTTAAGTTGTCTAAATAAGAGGTAAAATTATATTAATATGAATAATAAAATATTAATAGTAGCCATATAAATTAACAAAAAACTATAATTATTTAAATAGTAGAAAAACAGACTCAGAAACCTTTAAAAATGATAGAATAAAACGCAATGTAAATGACTATATTAATTAAAATATTAAATTGATTCAAGTACTAATTTGTTCTTATTTAACTATACATACATGTCAAATCATTAAAATACTTTACACATTAAAATAATTTGAGCATAAATTTGTATTTTAAAATATAAGAAATTAACATGATAATTTAAGAAAATATAAAAAATTAAATCAATAAAAATTAAATTCAAATAATCAAATCAATAAACGAAAGATATGTATGTAAGTGTCAACCCCCGAATTTAATTGTTGCTTTGAAAAAAAATTTTATTTTACTTGTAAAAAATGTAAAAATTAGTGTTAGCTCCCCATATTTTAAGTAGTTTTTATTTTTGTCCCCCGTGTTGGTTTATGAATTCTCCCCGATAACTGATGCAAACTTGATCAAGGATTAAAATTTTCATAATTCCTTTTCATATAATGCAACATATCCTCGATTTTAAAATTAAAAAATAAGTTATATATTCGACAATACAAAATTATAAATTTAGGTAATAAAGTCGTAAATTCTTACAAGCATTCAAATAATGACATATTATTTTTAGATTTAATTATTAAGATTTGTATTTCCTATTAAAATTAAAAAAGCAAGTTGCAAATTCAAGATGAAATTGCAAATTTGTCTCCCAATTTTGATATTTTGCAATTTTGTCTCAAATTTACAATTTTATCTTGTTCAATCTACAACTCAATTTTCTAATTTTAATAAAAAATCCAAATCTTAATGATTAAATTTAAAAAAAAATCATGTCATTAAGAATTTACAACTTTATCTTCCAAATTTAAAATTTCATTTTCTTGAATTTGCAGCTCTCTTTCTTGATTTTAATAAAAAACACAAATATTAATCATTAAATTTAAAAAATAACATGTTTTACTTGAAAACTTACAGGGATTTATATTTTTGTCTTCCAAATTTACAATTCATTTTTTCAATTTTAAAATTAAAAAATATTGCATTATATGAAAATACCAGCTAAGAATCTAAAAGACTTACTTTATATTTCAAAATTTGTTGAAGGTTTATCTAAATAAAATGATTTCTTCAGGACTTAGGTGTCATTCTTCCAACAAGACATACATCATTCGACGCTTGTATCGAGTTAACCCCAACCTGTTTTGCAATTCAAAGCAGCATTCTTCATCAACTTTAATTTGTTATGTGTTTTTATTTTTAAATTATCTAAATTGCCATTTTTTTAGTTTTAATAATAAATTTTATTAATTATATATTTATTTATTTTAAAAAATCAAATGAATAAAATAAAGGGGCTGAATGCTCGAAGGTTTGGCCATTGAACCCTATGAGTTATGGCCGCTTCACAAATAAGGTCGATTTTATGTAAAAGGGCTGATTGGCCCTAATTCCCACCTCCATGTCTATTTTCACCCTTTCCTTATGGCTCATGCTTAATCCTTTCCCTTCTCTTTTTCTCTATCACACACACACACACATGGAGAGAGAATGGTCCCCTACATATTTAGGACCCAGCCCAAAACTTATCAATGCTCTTACAATATATATATATATATATATATATATATATAGAAAATTCACTATCCCTACGTCTGCAAAACTGCATGATGGTGGTGGTGTGACAATCTTCAATTTTTCATCACTAGCTAGAGGGGCCACGAATGAGCACTAAAAGAACAGGTAAAGATAACCTAGGTTATATTTATAGAGACATGTTTGTAATGCACTAATGGTGGAATACACTTTAAAATCCCATTTTTAAATCAAAAATTCTAAAATGGCATATATACTCGTTATTAAAGCACAAAGTACTCGTGACTAATTCATGATCAACATGGATCTGAAGTGGCGTCACGTAAAGTAAGGAGTAACATACATATAACATAATTGGATCCAACTTTTATCAGAGACTGGTTAAAATAGTGTCTATCTCCTTCCTCACTTCACTTCAAATCACTTAACGTTATCCATGTTCAATTTATAATTATCGACCACTAATTGTAGAATGAGTGAGGACATTAGCTGAAACTTCTCTAGATGTTGAAGCCTCTGAAAACAAATTATTAGAATTTAACAGAAATGCAGGCTTTTGAGGCGAGGGAAGGCTTACTTCATTGCCAAGCATGATAATAACTTCTGACGTGGATGGCCTATGGATGACACTTTCTTGCACACATAAGAGCCCTATTTTGATATATCTTAGGGCAACATCAACAGGATATGATTCGCCAAGTGTTGAGTCTACTATTTCCAAGGCCTTTCCCTCTCCCCACAAGTCCCATAACTGCAAGTTAATGAAACATTATACAATCATCAGTAGGGAAAAAATGACATTGATATTTGTTAACGCAGTTTCTCACTAGGCTTTTGAGGTAAAATATGAAAGGATATGGCCAAAAAACAAAAGTTTAGTTTATATTTCATCCTTATAGATTTTGTCTTACTTGTCCAATCAAATTCAAGGATGATCCTTCCTTCTCACGATCTGTGTTTCTCCTACCACTAATAATCTCTAGTAAAAGAATACCAAAGCTGAAGACATCAGACTTTGTCGAATATTGTCCTTCCATTGCATATTCTGGGAACATATAACCGCTGCAACAACTCAAAATAGTTATGATGTATCATTGTGCAAATCAAACTTTTTATTTCAAGAGATGTAAAAGAATTTGGTCCTTACTATGTCCCAACAATTCTACTTGTTCTTGCTTGGATTTGCTCCTCTGCAAATATTCTAGCCATACCAAAATCTGAAATTTTGGGGTTCATTGCAGCATCTAAGAGAACATTGCTAGGTTTAAGGTCTCTGTGGATTATTTTCAATCTTGAATCATGATGAAGATAAAGAAGACCTCGAGCAATTCCAAAAATAATATGAACACGCTTATCCCAATCTAAAGATAATCTTTGATTCATATCTGAAAATCAACCAGAAAAGCTTCTTAATACTGAAAAATGGTGGGAAACTAATCAAGTCCTAATGTCCTATCAAGCACATGTACAAATTAAACAAGCAAGACATGATGAGAATGTTATAATAAAACAGTTTTTGATCAAATGTTTCTCTAATTTATTTTAGGGATGAAAATTGACTTATTTATTCCAACCAATTATCAACATATCAAAATATATATATATACATATATATATAATAAAATCTACATCAAGTTACACTATTCAAAAGTCATAAATAGTGTCTCATTTTTCAAGCCTCATCTATATAAACGTGTCTAGTCGGAGAAAAAAAGGAGGACTCACCAAAAAGATAAAAGTCCAAGCTTTTGTTGGGAACGTACTCATAGATCAACATCCTTTCTTCTTTATGAATGCAATATCCGAGCAACCTTATAAGATTCCTGTGCTGCAATTTAGCAATAAGTTTAATTTCATTCTTGAACTCGAGTCCCTTGTCCTGAACCTTTAGACAATCTTTTCACTGCTACTTCTTGTCCATTAACTAATATGCCCTGAAATATCAAAGTGCTAGGATATCATATGCTTACTTGTGCAAGACTATCAACATTAGCATTACATAAGATATTAGTCTCATAAGAATTAAAATATAACTAGATTAAAGGAAGTTGCATTCTTATAAGATTTCACTTACCTTGTAGACAGAGCCAAATCCACCACGCCCTAACTCATTCTCAATTGAAAAACTATTTGTACAAGCCAGTATTGTTTTGATGTTGAAAAATGGTAAGCTTGCTTGGGTTCTATTTTCACCATGCTCTTCTTCAGAGGAAGATTCAATGTTTATTTGTTGCTCAGCCATTTGATCTGGAATAAGCAAAAACAAGAGGATACAATACGAATTTTTGAACACGTGGTGCTGGAAAAAAACAAATTCATTTAAAACATTTTAATAAGATCCATCATCGAACTAGAATTTGTTCACATTTCTGTGACTTGATCATAGTCTAATGGAAGTTAATTATTTTAACTATATATATGTGTGTATATCTTAATTAAAAGTTTTAATACATACTCCTTCTGGTCCTATGTAGAAAACACTTTTAACCAAATCGCACGAAATCAGAAATGTGGTTAAAATTAGTTAAGAGTCTTTATTTTTTCAAAAATTTCTACAGAAATCCCAAGTTACCTTTAATTAAGATTATTAACTTTACCTAATCTAAAAGTCATGCATGCCACTCAAATGAACCAATTAAATATGTGGGCATTTTTTAAAATAACTCATAATGCTCTATCAAGTTTTATAGGGTGGTGAAATACCAAATAAAACTTCTAGAAGATATCTTATATTAAAAACTGGAGGGAGTATAATATTATACTAGTAATTTAATAAATAAATTGTAATACATAGTTTAGTACAAATATGAACGCATGATTAACATAAGGAAAAATTACGTATAGGTCCATTGAAATAGACTTATCTACAAATAAGCCCAGTGAAATTTGGATACCACAATCAAGTCCCTTGAAACTTAAGTATAATTTGACATTAGGATGCAAAGACAATAATACCCTTATTAAACATACATTATATTAATCAAATAATTAAGTTACAACTACTTTATCAACAATTTACAACTATAATTTCAACTATTTACAACTATAACTTTACATATTTAATAATTAAACACTCATGCACCATTAAACAAAGTTTAACATTAATTGTTTACATCTGCTTCATCAATAATTTACAACTATAATTTCAACTTTTTTCCAATTGTAACTTCACATATTCAATAGTTAAACTAATCAATTTAATTTAATTATTGGATATATAAAATTAGAGTTGTAAAATGTTGAAATTATAGTTGTAAATTACTGATAGAATAGTTGTAAATTATTTGACTGATATAATGTATATATGTTTAATAGGAACATCATTGTCATTTTATCCAAATTTCAAATCACACTCAGGTCCCAAGAAACTTAGCTGTGATTTTTGAATTTCAAGAGACTCGTTTGTAAATAAGCCAGCTTCATAGAACCTATATGTAATTTTCTCTTAATATAAAGGTGAGCACTCAGCAACAGTATTTTGAATATGATAATACATCCGTTAAATAAGCAAGGTAAAATCTGTTAAAGGTTTAAAGGTGAGCACTCAGCAACAATATTTTGAGTATGATAATACATTTGTTAAATAAGCAAGGTAAAATCTGTTAAATGTCAAAAATGACTTATCCATCTCAAAAGACTAATTAAGGTTGTTGTGGGGAAGGCCGCAGAACACACACACACTGTAATCAGTTACAACTGAGTGACTTAAACAAGCTATAGCATCTAAAAGGCAATTTATTTCATGTTTTCACTTCACCTAAAATTAGTTGAGATCATTTATTTAATGTTTTTCTTGTTAAATTCATAACTTGTCCTGGAGAAATAAAGAAGGAAAAAGAAGCAAGCACCTCTCTTTTTCTTCATCCAAAAGCAATAAACACACGGGGAAACCAGAAGAATAATTACAACCAGAGTAGCTATCAGAATTCCCACCATTCCAGACATAGAAAGTGTTCCTTTCGATTTCCTATTATAGTTTGCTGAGAAAAGTGGAAACAAGAAAGTGTTCAACACAAAGTAAAATGAAAAACAGGGAACAAATACAGAAATTAAGAAAAGTAGTATATCTACCTAGTTCAATGGCATCAACACGAACATATAAATCATGGCCTTCCTCATTTAACACCATTGTGTCCATCAGAGTCCCATGCCATGCTAAGCACCCACTTCCTCCATTTCTCACATCAGCAGCAGCGTAGGCACTGCAAGAACAGTTTCTCAAGCACTCTTGTTCACATTCCTCCATGCTCAAACCCTTTCTAACTTTTGCTATAGATGTATCAGGAATCTTGACACTTTCTACTTTAACAAAGCCTTCTCCATTTCTGCACAAGGGTTGTCCTTTCTTCCTCACACAACCTGCTGATTGATCATTCTTCTCATGCCAATCGGTTGGGTTTCTAGGTTCAAACCCAGGTAGGCAAGAACACTTGTTGTATCCATAGTTATAAGAGTCACAGTTGCTATTGGGGCCACAAGTTCCGTATGCGTCACAGCCCACTTCTGGATAAGATCGATATCGCATCCAATCTTTCTTCGCATAATCCCATTTATGCGTTTGCATGAATCCAGATGGACTAGCTATAAACTTCAATATGGAGGTGTTGTCCAAGGCATGATACACGACTCTAACCTCACTATCATCTTCCATAAAAGAGACATTCAAAGTACGCACCATTAATCGTTTCAAAGCCGTCAGACCCACAAGAATTTCTCCATTGAAGGATCCAATTCGCCACACTGGAACATTTTGCTCGTACAGAAACAACTGAGGTTTGCCAGAAGTATTGAACCTAGCTGAGAAGCTTCCTGTTGCAGGATCATCATCGGTCTTCCATGACTGCAAGAACCAGTCTTGACCAGTTCTTTTGTTGAAACCCAGTTTTCCATATGGAAGAAAGGTGTCGGTGGGATGATCAAAGCTTTGCCAGAACACCGCTTTGGAGTCGTTTTGAATTAGAGCAAGATTACCTAAATCAGAGAGTTGAGCTATAATTCTGGTAATAGGAACAGTGACAGAAACATTTGTGGACCAGATGGGGAAGTTGGTGTTATTGTGGTGGAGTATAAGATTCCCATCTGTGCTGAGCGAGAGAACTCCAGAGGTGTCATTGATGGGATTGTCTCTGTTTGCCACCCAAACAACAGTTTGCTTTGGCAAGTTATAGTACCATATTCCAACATAGCGAGAGCTCGATTTGCCAGGAGCGAAGAACCCAAGAGCAAACTTTCTTCCTTTAGAAATGACAAGTTCTCCATCTCTAATGGGTTTACCTATGGTTATGGCATCAGAAGCTGCACAAAACAAGTAGTGGTAAGAGAATAATATAAGACAGAGAAGAACTATCCCATTTGCTATCTTCATGATCAGAAATGCCTAAAATGAAATCAAAATTGAGCTGCTTCTTATGGTAATGAACTTTATAATATATACTATATATATATATATATGAGAGTGATAGGGAGAGGGCTTTCTTCTATACTTTATATTTAAAAGCTATAACTATCATCACCCATTCATACTCCATACACTGTTTCTTGTGACGCGTCACTTTCCAATTCAACGGAAGACTGGAGTCAATGGGAACCCATTCCATAAGTTATAGAGATAGTTCTCATAAATTCAACACGAGTAGACAAAAAGTCACTTTCTTTCAACTTCCTACACGCATTTTGTCTCTTTCTCTCATAATGCGTCACACTACAACGTTGTTTCCTTCTCACGAGTTCTGCTACGGTGAATCGGTAAGGCGGTAACTCTATTAGGGGTAAAAACATGAAATGACAGTTAATGACCAAGACATTGAATTATTTACAATAATACCTCGCAAAAAGTAAAGCTACAAAAAATACTAACAGCTTTGACATATGGTGTTTCAATATGTTTGTGGAGAATGAAATTCTTAGCTTGATGATTTCTCTAAAGTCTATGTTGCGTGGATGCGCTGGAAAATTTGGAAGATCCGCAGTGATTTTGTTTTTAACAAACAAGATGTCGGTTCTGTTAAATTAGTCTCGCTCAATAGACGCTGCTGTTCGATCGAGAGTGCTGGAAAGCTACTGGTTTGATGGAGGAGAATCACATACCTAATCAACAGAATGAACATGTTCAGATCTAGATGAAGACGCCACATGCAGAACTCAAAATCAACACTGATGGCTCCCCGAACTCGTAGAGATCATGAAGGCAAACCATTGTTCTACTTCAGGTAGCGAATTGAAGTTCTATCCGACGGTTTGGTTCGTGGAGCCCCTCCTTTGCGAAGGACGTTTTGTCTTCTTCAGCGAGTCCACTTCCCATTCCCACCTTTCAGTTCAGGTAGTCTCGGATCTGGCAGTGTGAGTGACCGGGGAGGGATAGATGACTCTTTTTGTAATTTCATTCGATTTTTTTTTTTTTTTTTTGCGTTTTATCATGCCCTTCCTTGTCGTTTTTATTCATGTATTGTTCGTGCAGCGAGATGTATGAAAATGTTGCCAGATTGGTGGAAAATTGGATTTTAATTCTACATTTAAAAGATTATATTTAAATGGTTAAACTCTGCTTTTACTATTTTAATATGATTTGATTCTTTAATTTTATAAAATATTTTTTAGCTTTTGATCTTAACATGGGCAAGATATTTTTTATACTAATCATTGTTATTTAAAAATAAATAAATTTTAATATGTTAACATTTAAAAATATTTTATCAACATTTAAAAGTTTAATGTATAAAAAGATAATATATAAACCAAGTAAATGTGGTATAAATGATAGTGGTCTAAATCTTTTAAGCATTATTTCAAGGTTAGATTCCTATATGTATGTACGGACAAGCATTACTTGAAAAAGGACTTCTTTTTAAATGATGCTCAGATTTTTTTAAAGGATTAGTCTTATGGTTATTGGCTATGGAGATACCTTGAACAACCAAAAAACAAAAAGATTAAAAATAGATTTTAAAAAAAAAATTGAACATTATATAAAATTAAAAGATTAAAAATAAATTTTAACCTGTTTTACCTTTATATAGTTTAAATAATTTTGAATGACATACAAATTTTTAAATTTTATGTAGAAGGCAAGCGGAAAAAAATAATGTTACAGATTTTTTTAAAATATATGGGCAATGGAGTAAAAATCATTTTAAATTTTAGAGATAATATTGAACAATAAAAACTGGAGCAGTTACCTGTTACCAAAAAAAGAAAGAAATAAAGAAACTTGAGTAATTACATTTCTGAAATAATAATTGTATTCAATTTTTAAAAATAAATTATATATTACTCTCTAAATTTTAAATTACGTATACATAATTTTTTTAATCTTTATAATTTTATAATGAACTCCCTTTAATTCTTATATCTACATAGATAACTCTATATAATTAATTTTATATATTAATTATTTACACATAACTCAAAATTTAAGAGGTTTATCTATATATTAACTAAAGTTTGGGAGTTTAAATACAAATAAAAATAAAATTTAAGGAGATATATAATGAATGGCTAAGGGTTATGTGCATAGAGCTTAAATAGGTTTATTATTAAGTTTTAAATGTTAAGGTGATTATTTGTAAATGGTTTAAAATTTAGAGAAATTTTAAATAAATTAACCTTTTTTTTTGTTAGTTTTATCCTATTCTTCCTTTATGTTTTGCTTACATATTTTTTTATTTAATATAAGGCCACGGTACATGTAAGAGAAAGTAGTTAGGATATGTCCAAACTCCACAACTAGGTGACGGGTCATTAAACATCATAATATCAAGGGTCATTAAACATCATAATATCAAGGTTCACATTATAAGCCCAACGAGCAAGCCATTTCGGGCATTGATTTTTTTTATAATTTATAAACATGTGATTGAAGTCAATCGTCTTGTCTTTCACAGCCAAGTACCAGAGCTTCTCTATAGCTTTCAGCTAGCAAATGGTTCGAGATGAAGTCATGCTAAAAGATATTGACTTTGATAAATATGTTCCTTCGATGGATATTAAGACCATCAAGTATTCCTAAAAGCTAAGCAACAGTAAAAAGACAAGCAACATTAAAAAATAATAATCAAGTATTTGAAAAAGCCTTTTATCCAATTACCCAAAAAAATTTGTTAGTAGTGGCAAATTTTAACCAAATATAAATATTAAAATTTTATAAAAATATAATTCTAAATATTTATTAAATTAATATAAAAATAACATTTACTAAAATTAATTATTAAAGAATTAGTATATTTTTATAATCAATATAATAGAAAAATATATTTTTAGATATATGTGTTTCATGTTTTTAAAAAATAAATAGGTACAAAAATTCATTTTTTTTGGGCTGGGGGAAAAATGAAATTTTTTATAGGGGACAAGTAAAATTTTCAAGGGTAGTTATGTGTAATTCTATTTATGTAAATCAAATTTATAAGTAATATTTACTTTTTTGTGCCCCTAATATTATAGTGTTACGAGTCCCACATCGAAGAGCCTCACAAGCAGTGTAAAGTTTATAAGTTTAAAGGGCTCTTCCTCCTAATAGACTAATCTTTTGGAATGAGCTCTCTCTTTGAGTTTGTACTTGTCACATTGGTGCTTTTATTGAGAGGTTGGTGTCACAAAAAAGGTTATCCACTAAGGGTCCTGACCAACAGGAGGCCAAGTGAAGTGCTGTGGAGTAGAGCCGCTAAAGACATCAATTTTTGACAAAATGTTATTGTTATGAGTCCCACATCGAGGAGTCTCACAAATGGTGTGAGATTTATAAGTTCAAGAGGCCCTTCCTCTTAATTGCTAGTTTGTTGGGTGGTGGTACCACTCCTTTTGGGTTTGTGGTCTCAAAAAGGGCCTCCCACGAAGGGTTCCGATTGACCACAGTCAAATGAAGTGCTGTGGAGTAGGAGCCGCTGGAATTATAAGGTTGGAGGCACTTCTACCAAGCTAGTCTTTTGGGACCAACCTATTAGGAGAGAAAGCCTCGTGAACTTATAAACCCTACACCATTTGTAAGGCTCTCCAATGTGGAACTCATGATAATACCACTCGATCAAGAGCTGATGTACCCTACGACTCCACTCCACGACACAGCACTTAACCTCCTACCAGGCAGAACCCTCTATGCGTAGCCCTTTCCGTGACACAAGCTTCTCAATGAAAACACAATGTGATGAACACAAGCTCAAAAAAAGAGCTTATCCTAAAAAATTAGCCTACTAGGAGTGCCCCCCAAACCTATAATTCCAGCGACTCCAGCTTCACAGCACTTCACTTGACCGCGACTTATTAGAACCCTCCGTGGGAGGTCCTTTTCAAGACTACAAGTCCAAAGGGAGTGGTAGCAACACCCAATAGACTAGCTTATTAGGAGGGAGGGTCTCTTAAACTCATAAACCTCACATCATTTGTGAAACTGTGAAACTCTTTAATGTGGAATTCATGACATATAGACATGACTCTATTATTTGTCATTACATATGAGACTTTTATTAACATCGATCGAGCGATTAAATGTGATTAATTGATTTAATCGTGGATCAAAAGTCAAAGAAGATAATAAAAATAAATAAATCATTCTATCTCCCTTAAAAATGAAATATCAAAAATAAAATATTAAAGTAGTTGTCAACGAATTGGTTAATTGAATCTAATATTTCTAAACTAGTAATAGTAACATCTTAACTTCACTTTGAAAAAATTACTACTATAAATTAATTAGTCTCAGAATGTTACGTCATTTATACGATGGAAGATGAGGTATATTTAATTGTTTATTCTATTTTTATTTGTGTTATAAAACTTAAAAATATGTAATAATTTCTCATTCTTGTTTAGCAAGTCATATTTTTAAGCCAATTATAACTTTAAGACATAAAAAATAAAATAATTTTGTAGATTAATATACATATGAGCAAATGAGTTCTAATCAAAAGTGGAGACAAGGGAAAGAGCAGCCACAACCCCTTAATTTTTTATTTTTTTCATAGTAAAATATAAGGTTTATATATTTTTAGCTCTCTAAGTTGATATATTATAGAAATATGAAGAAATTAAATAAAATTTTTATTTCAATTTTATATGTAGTCTTTTAAATATATATAATGTAACTGTTTCAGTACCTTAAAAATATAATTGTCATCAGATCTACTCATTTCATTTTTATTTGCTAGAAAAAGTGTCACTTTTGATGAGAAACAATGATAAGCAAAATCACATATTTTAATAATTATTTATTATAAATTTTTTAAACTACTCCTCATAATTCACACATTAACAAGAAATAATTAATGCAAATTTGTGTTAATTAATGCATGGTATTTTAGTTTAATTTTTTTATTTTTAGACAAAATTATTATAGTTAACCAATTTTTTAAGACTGTGTAATATAATTTTTCTCTTATATATATATATAAACAAAAGGAGTAATTATTTTCAACAAAATAATGTATTATGCTAAAAATGTGCCTTTATTTTCCCATGAGCAAGAAATTATTATGCCACTTGCTTTCTAATTAACTAACATGCATTAATATAGAATACATGTACCTATGTTATTGAATGGTTGTACTTATCTTTTATTTTAATATTACAACAGTTAGCTCATCATGACAAGACTGAGAGAAACAACTTGAGGCTTAAGATAATCATTCTAACTTGTAGGCCTAATTTATTTTAAGTATTATGTATATAATTTGTTATGACGCTGCTAATTAAGAGATTTCATATTTTACTTACTTGCACTATATGATTATTAAGCTGAGTTATGAATGATGTAATTGAGGCT